ACCCAGCTCCCTCTTTCCTTTGGCTTGAATATGCCTCAAAAACCCGATTCTGGGCAAAACACGGTTGAGGACACGAACGTGTTTTGCTTCTGCCCGCCCATGTTTTGAACTCCTCAACAGCCCTCACGACACGCCCTCGGCAATAAAAACACTAGCGGGGGCCAGATGAAACACGACCGTGTTTTTAGGGTAGTTTGCCCATGTTTTTACTGTTGAACCTGTTCCTCTATATTCAATGCTTCGTCTCTTCCTCGTCCGGACTCCGAATCAATCGTCGTTTGATCCCAGACGCTTGTAGTCTCGTCCTCTTTCTATTCATGACAAGCTTGCACGATTCTATGTCCATAAATGAGGTATAAATCCATTCTTCTTCAGGTCATGCCCGAGTTTCTTCTCCCAAATCGCCAATTGATATCCGATTGAGTTGAAACTTGCGCCTATGCCTCCCTTTATCACTAGGACTTGAAATGTGACAAAGAAACACAACCTAGCATAAAATCGGTCAAAGAAGAGATCATTCAATCTTAAACGATCGAGAAGTAGAGGGAAAAACATGTGCAAATATCGAGTCATCAGACACCCTAACCCATTCTGATTTCTGACCAACACCCAAGGATTGCCATATAAAAAATATTGTTCCAAGCTAGGGGTGGAAGTTTGGTTTAACTGTTTGGGATCCATCAAATACCACACAAAATTTATCATTATTTGGTATTATCGATGACTGAGTTAACTTTTTAAGTTTGTGATTGGATTGATTTTTTAGTAGTATTCAATATTCTAGATATGCAATTGGAATTGATATATACCAAGATATATATTGATAAACTTGCCTAATCTACGGCAGAAAATGTGGGAGTAAAGAGGAAACTTGGGATCGGTTAGCATGCTAACCCTTCTAAGGGGTTGGAAAAATTACACTCCTATTAATTATAGTTATTTGTTGTATTAATTTCGTGTTGCATTTAATAATCTTTGGAAATTAAAAAATCATCTTAATTAAATTCCGTGTTTATAACTACCATTGCACCTGTATACTGAACTCATATTAATTACGTTCTTTTTTTGGAACTACCATTGCACATGTACACTAATACCATTGCACACATACAACTACCAGTGCACTGAAAAAAGGAAAGTAATTAATATATGTTTTTAATTCATACATATTATTAAATGCAACACAAATTAATTATCTTAAAAACCTATAATTAATAGGGGGTGTCAATTTTCCAGACCTTTTAGGAGGTAGGCATGCTATCTCATCCCAGGAAACTTTCATAATCGACAACCAGAAAAACGTAGGTTAAAAGAAAAGAAAAACTGATACGCGAGAAGGAAAAAAAAGAAGCTCAAATAAGGTAAGTTCTAGTGAAAGGGGAAAACTTGTCTAATCGACAGCTAGATAAACGTAGGTTAAAAAGTAAAAAAAAAAAAACTAGTACGTGAGAATAAAAAAAGCTCATTTAATGTAAGTCCTAGCTAAAGGGAAAACTTGCCTACAGTTAGTAAAACCTGGGTTATGGAAAAAAAATATTTTTAAGGTAAGAAATGACTAATTCTTATTGACTTGTGTGTATGCTCTATCTTACTAGAATGAATTGTTTAGTTGTATTGTGAGTAATTATAATTTAACTAAATTGAGATTTAGGGAATTATGAGTGGTTTAATAATACTGAAGTGTAAGTTTAATCCACTGTACATATGATTGTTATAAATGGCTAATTCTTATTAACTGATGTTTATGTTTATGATGAAATATTTTAGAAGAATGAATTATTTAGTTATATTGATAAATGATTAAAGTGAAACTAAAGAGAATTATGAGTTATTTAATAATAGGGAAGTATATGTTTAGTCAATTGAACATAATATCCCACTATTTATATATGCAAAGAGAAAGTTTTCAATATCTCGTGTTCAATTCAAACAACCTTACTATTTTTTTTTTTTTTTTGTAATATGACGTTATTTAATTTAGTATTTGGTATATAACTATTTGCTGACCTTGCTGCCTTTGCGCAAAAAAACATTTGTTGTGTTACACTTGCCCCTCCTAACCCAGTTTGTATGCTTGGGAGTATAAGTTGCTATACTAATATCATATCAAACTATTTCAGATTGAGATTGATGTGATCGGTATTTAGCATTTGAGATACCAATAAACTTATTTTTTCTAGTTATACCAAAGTACATACACTTATTAATGACTAATGACATGTAAAACTTGCAACTAAGTATAACATTTAATTAGTCATGAATCTTGAACTTGAGGATTCATTGACTATAGAACATATGTACACTAATATAACCCCTTATGAATTGAGAAAGGAAAAACTTGTCTAATCTACGACAGAAAAAATGTGGGAGAAGAAAAAATCTGTTTAACATTAGTCCCAGTGAAATTCCTAATCGACAGCTTGAAAAATGTGGGTTAAAAAGAAAAAAAATCATACATAAGAAGGAAATAAAAAGCTCAATTAAGTAAGTCCTAGCGAAAGAGGAAAACTTGCATAATCGACAGTTAAAAAAAGTGAGTTAAAAAGTAAAAAAAACTCATACATGAGAAGAAGAAAAAAAGCTCATTTAAGGCAAGTCATAGCGAAAGTGAAAAAAATTATTTTAAGGTAAGTATTAGGTGGTCTTACAGTACACCCTCCCACATCCCATCAGGCCCCTTAAATATACGTGCACTTTATATATACTAACTATTAAAATATATCTCTATCACATTTTGGAGATCTACGTCATTTTAGTAGTTTATATTTTATAATTTTTTTTAATAATATTGATAAATAAGTTACGAAAAATTACATATCATACAAAATGTCTAATTAATATGTAATGACATATACAAATGATGATGTTTATTATTTTTTTTATAAGAATGATATATATTTTACTTTTTTATTCATGTACTATTTAAGGGATTGTCGATGCTATATGTGAACATACTCAATTACTACTCACTATCCTCGATGGTCGATGCAATACAGTTTGTTCACCGAATCCGAGAATTCGCCTCCGCCATCCTTTCCATGGCTCCACCGTTCCTTCATCTACATCATTTGTGCCCCTTGTAACGTTGGTCTCCTGTTTCTCTTGGGAATCTCAAGTCGAACTAAGATGTTGTGGTTCTATCCTCACAAAGTTGTGCTTCGGTCTAGTTTTTAGCATATATACTAGTATAGGTTACCCTTACATTGCTAAGTTGCTAGTTGTGATTTGAATGGCTTCTTCATGGTTCTCAACTTTCGTCGTGAAAGTCACTCTGAAGTGGTGATTCATCAGCTCACTCGTGGAATGGAGGTGAATGTGGCAAGTGGCTCAGCGCTTCGAGATGATCTTCATATTGCTGTAGACGGTAGTTTTTAGATATAGGTTAGAGTTTAAAAAAAAAAAATCTACGGGATATCCAAAATGGCTTAGAGTTGTATTTAAGTGACATTTCTACCATAGGGATGGTCAATGTGTGGTCCGAACGGGAACAAATCAGGTCAGTAATCTTATGGTGAGTAATCATGAGTAACCCGCTCACATCAGAATGACATCAGCATCCTCTCTCTCCGGGAAAGCCTTTAAATTTCCCCTCCTTAACCTTTAACGGACGATTTCTCACTTGTTTTAAGTCGAAATTTAATTTTTTTTGCACAGTTAGATCAGATTAATTGTGTTCTTCAAAATGATATCCACTTTGATATATTTTTCGAACAAAAAAAATTGAGCTATTTTTTACCAGTCTATACCATATGGTATTGACAGGTATTGAAATAAGAGCATACATATGGTTTGAAAAGCGTACCATGGTGGTATGACACAAACCAAAACTGTAGGATGGTTGAATACATGATAGTAGAGTATATTAATTGTCATTTACGATTTTTAACATTGTATACCATAAGATACCACCCCGTACCAGGGTGGTATTGTATGGTATTGTGTGGTATTTTTTGGTCTTGTAATTTGTTCACCCAGAAATATGTAGATCGAATAGATCATGATGAACTCGTCCCTGTTGTGCAAACGTTTTCAATAACGAATTAAAAACGAAGAAGATACCATATGGTATGCAGTTGGTACCGAGAGGCCATAATTTTTTTTTCACAAAAAATATTGAAAATTGATCTCATTTTGTAGAGCACGATGAGCTCGTTCCATCAGTGCAAAAAAAATTAAAATCCAAGTTAAAACGAAAAATATATGAGTCAATTAAGAAATTCGGGAAAATAAAAATAGCTTTTAATTCTCCATCTTTAGATCTGGATTTTCTAAATGAAGGGTCCATATTTTGTTATGCACCCTATCTTAAGCCGGTCCGAACGGTCATACAAAAAGTTGTTTCCCTTAATAAACCGGTGATTTGCTACAAATGATTTACAACCACATTTCCTAAGCCAGCTGAAGACCATGCAAAATCTTCATCAACTCAACTTGTATGATTGTTTCAGCTTTGAGTTTGATTAGGAACTCTTTAATGAAAAGACCATCATCTTCCGTTGCAAATGCACCAAACCCTATTTTGATCGATTTAGAAGAGTGACCGACAAAGTTATGAATATTATTATTGATCCATCCTCTTAGATATCCAAGCCATAAATCCAATATTGTTTTTTTCTCTATCTAAAACTTCCATTCCTTCTGAAGTGTTTTTGCTACTATCCCAACTTGTTTATTGTCCTCAACAGAAACGAAATTATAGGCTTAATTGCAAGTTTGGTCACTCGAATTGCTACAAAATTTCACATTTGCCACTCAAATTAATTAATTCCATTTATAGTCACTTAAATTAGGTTAACAATCCAAATTTGGTCACTGGCCGTTAGTCTCCGTTAACTTTTGCTGATGTGGCGGTCAACTCTTATAGTTGACCGTTAAATGCATGACGTGGCAATTAAAAAATTATAAACAATTATTTTTTAATAATTTCCACCTCATTTTTACAATAAATTAAAAAATAATTAAAAAATGTCACAATAATTAAAAAATATTTTCCACCACGTTGCAAGAACTGGTGCGGGATCGACCCCGACGGCTCTACCTCCGCCTCGAAACCCTCCCACCCTGAAGTATCGATTCCTCATCACCTCCAGATCCCCGACGGGGTTCCTGAGAGATCGACCATCAACGGCGGGCTGATCATCCGCAGTTGGGAGAGCGAGTGGTGCTTCTAGGGACGCCGGCAAGGCCAGATATTCGGCTGTTACAATCTCCGGTTCTACTGGCCGACCAACTTCGTCCGACTCCCCTTGCCAGTCTTCCTCACTACATCGTTGATCCGGTTGGTGATGAACACTTTCGAACCAAAAAGAACACCTGGATCCACGTTTCCCTGGACTGCTACATCTTTCCCCAATCGTCGCCTGCCTTCCGCCATGTCCACCGTCCAATCCAATCTGACCACGTCCACTCCGGTCAAAGCCAGCCTCTGGAGCAAGCCTCCGGATCCGCTTGCACAAACTGTCTCGGCCACTTGCTTTGCACAGTAACCCCATTCTGGATCAATATCTTGTCTTTGGAATTGAGGTTCTAAGCAAAAAGCCAACTCTTTGTGTTTGTTAGAAGCTGCCTCAGTCCTCACACCCATACCCTCCGCCATTATTACCAGATACCACCCATTGAAGGCAATTGCAGAGAACGGAGAAGGGGATTTCCTTAGAATGGAGATTCTGACTTTTGCCTGCGGTAGAATGGAGATTTGCTTCCTCTGTCGAGAGCCTGGACAAGATTTCATTTACCATCCAATTGCTAGTTTGAATGGTCTGGATTCTGGACACCCTTAATTTAATTAACATTACTCGTACATGATATGAACAAGAGTTTTCAAAGAAGAAAGCAGAGAGGATTTATAAGAGTTGAACTAAGAATTGTTGGGATAATCCAATTAAGAAACAACCCCTCCAAAAATTGAGATATTTCTTGCGATTATTGTTTGGAGGAAGGGTTGGGTGGGTCTGTTTTACAGTGTCAACTATCTGCTTCAAGTACGGGAGACTGAACTCCTCGAAATCAACTGGACTAAGTTCAGTGGCCCACGAGTCGAAGATTTGAACAGCTTGAGCTCCACTGTCAGCTTGATATTGAATGTACTTAGCCATGGAAGTTGCGAACCTCTGAGTACTCGCCCGCAGCAGCGAGGACGACTGCGGCGACAGGTTCAGGCGACCGAGACGGAAGTGGTGCAGCTTGGTCGCCGGCGCCGACCAGAGGAAATATAAATTTTATTTTTTATTTTTTAATAGTTTTGAAAATGAGGTGGAAATTATAAAAATATTAAATATTATTTTTATAATTTTTTAATTGCCACGTCATGCATTTAACGGTCAACTATAAGAGTTGACCGCCACATCAGCAAAAGTTAATGGAGACTAACGGCCAGTGACCAAACTTGAACTGTTAACCTAATTTAAGTGGCTATAAATGGAATTAATTAATTTGAGTGGCAAACGTGAAATTTTGTAGCAATTCGAGTGACCAAACTTGCAATTAAGCCCGAAATTATATATACAGCTAAATGAATAATGTCTAGTTGCTCTGGGCGAATCGGCCATTAATTCCGTACACACAGGGCGTGAGAGCTCACATTATAATTACACATGTTCATACAGATAGACAAACCCATGTAATCCATATAAATATTGCTACAAGATTCCCCTCATTAATAGCTAACTTGTTTTGGGAAGTATATTATATTAATAATTATGTAACCAAAACCATGTTGAATTATAAAGAACTCAAATATATTGATGTATCTATAATAGTGAATGAAAGAAAATGCATCACAAAGGAGGGAACCCAAAGCATGTGACAATTTGTAAAGAAGTGGTTAAAATTGAGACCAATAAATTGTTGGAATGATATAAGAGTTGGTTTGTCATTGAAAGCACGTGTTCAAGTTCTCACGACCCCTAATATTAACTTTCCTAAATCACATGATATGACGTACATGTGTGAATTTCAAGCCCATAAGTTAGCTTCCATTTGGAGTCATGCAAGAAAGTGGTTAAATTCATACAGGAGATCCCAACAACTCGAGTTATTGTAACCAACTAGTTTTCATAACAGAATTGTCCCAAATAAACTTGATTCATGTGAGAGCTTCACTGATTAGTCTTGCTCAAAAAGACCATAAAACTGTGGATAGAGCAGGAGGGAGATTGAAAAGAAAATTCAAGCATTTTTTCTTTGTTTGATGGCTATTTTGAAACAAGTATTTGTCTCTTCACCCTCGATGTATGAATCATATATAAACTAGATATTCCGTTGTCATGTGTACGTGTTGCTTCCGAGTATTTCCCATCACAATTAGCAAAGCAATTAAAGAAGGTATATGAAGACTTTTACCCACAAACGAGTATAGATAGAGCAGTAGAGCAAATGGCAAAGGTGAAAGGCCCAACATGCAAAGAAGAGTGATGATGACCGTATTTATGTCACACAGAGAGAGCTGAGGATGAATAATTAATTCTGCCCACTACAGGATTGGAAAAGATGGAAGGGCAGCAAGCAGGGCAAGTCCCATCCCATTATATTTGTGCCTATGCTCGTCGTTGTTAGGAGCATTCAAGTAAGGAATGAATGACCGTGAATTGTGAGATGAATGCGTGATCCAAATGCGTAAGAACACCAAGACTGACCCCATAAATAATGTTGCTAACAGAGTGCGCGCGGGGTGGAGGGAGCTGAGGCTTGAGAGCGAGAGTGAGAGGGAGAGGGCCGGCTTGGCTTGAGCTTCCCAGTGGTCATGTCCATCTATTTCTATTTGTAAGTAAGTAATTGTTTGTAGGTAGAATAGAAACAACAAGTGCTACTAGTAGCATAGTACTCCGCATCCAATCAACTGTTGCGACCCTTCTGTTCCTCAGCTTTCTGTCCCATCTTCCCCCCCAACCCAACCCAGCCCCAGTCTATCATTTTTGCCCAAAACGAATGTAGTGTGGGGTCTCTCTCTCTCTCTCTCTCTCTCTCTCTCTCTCTCTCTCATTTTGCTAGCCTTTGCTGCTCCCAATCATCCAACACTCTTTTTCACTTTTTGCTCTCTTTTCCCCCCCACGCCATCTACTTTGTGCCTCCAGTTCTCACTCGAGAAGTTAACTCCCCAAGTTACCCACCTTTTCTCCCACACTATTAAACAAGATCTGATCAGGCGAAATAATGACTTGATCTAGTGCTAATGTGGTATTGTTGAATCCCCGCAAGTACTAAGTACTAACAATTAAAACAAACGCGACACTAATGATCAGCTTGCTAAGAGCTCCTTTCTTTGACTGCATGACTCCATCCCTCTTATATATCGTGTAAGAAAAAGAAGAAGAAAAAAAATAGAGAAACAACGTACAAGAGTATCATCAGAAAGAAAATCACAATGTAAAAGAGTAAAAAATAGCTTCTTTTTTCTCCCATGAGGACAAGTCGTATATATCTGATTATCATCACCTATACGCTATAGCTAGTCCCTCTTACTGGCAGCAGCAGCAGCAGCTTCCTGACCCCCAAACGAAGCAGCAGTAATGTTGTTGTTGTTGTTGTACTGGTTGTCCATCGCAAGTGATGAGGTAGACCAATCAAACATGCTGAACAAAGAAGGCTCCAACCCACCGCCACCACCTTTCTCATCCTTCCGCTCATCTCCACCGCCTCCCTGGCTAAACAGCAGCTCCAGAGGGTCCACGTCAGCATCTATCTCCCCCAAGTCCGAGAAGAAATCCGAAGGAGCAGCGAGCGCGGGCCGGTAACTGTCCGTCGAGAACCCTCCGCTGAACTCGGCACACTCGTGGCTCATCTCCAGCTCCATCTCCATCATCTGCTTCGTCGTATCCCGATCATCATCATCCACGTCAGCCTGCTCCTCTTTCACTGCTGCCACGCCAGCAGTACTACAGCTGGCAGTGGCAGTCAGGAAGCCGGCCGAGTCATCGTCACCCTCGCCGTCCTCGCTGCTCATGCTGACACCAGCAGCGTGGTCCTTGCTGTGATTTTCCTTAATATTAATGTTATTATTGTTGGCGTTGGCGTTGGAGGAGGAGTTCTTTGACCCGGCGGAGGATGACGACGTGCCGTTGTTGTTGCTGTTGTGGTTGTGGTGGTGCTTGAGCGGGTGGGAGCGGGTCGAACCGGCGAGGGCGTTGCGCTGGGTGGGCCAGGGGTGATTGTGCTCCGACGTGTAGGTGATGACCAGCATGTTCGGGTCGGTTCGGCTACGCTCCACCTGCTTCCTCGCCGAGCACCCCTTCGAGCTGCTGCATCTGTAGTATCCCCTGCGCGCCACGCCAACGACAACAACAACAACAAGTGTAAATACAGACAGACACAAAGAAAAACGCTGTTTTAATTTAATTTGCAGGAAAATGAATATATCAGTACTCTCAGTCATATCAATGATTTGACAATAATTAATGACCGAGGAAATAAAACACCCCTCAAGTAAAGTAAACTGGCAGTTTCAGGAGTACTGTTGTATATCTACATGCATAGTAAGTATTCCATGCCATGCGCAATTACAAAAGCAGACGAGACGGAGGTAAATTCATTCATAGTACACAAAAACAGTTTAAAAAAACCCAAAAGGAAGGGAGAAATTGAAAGAAGCTGATCAGACAGAGCTATAGGACCCTAGCTAGGAGAAAATTAATGGTGAAAAAAAATGAGAAAATGAAGAAATCACCTGGGATAAGGGGAGCCCTTGATGGGTTTCTGGCCGTACTTCCTCCAAGCCCACAGATCGGAGGGCACCACTTCCCCACTTGGCCGGCTGTTGGCAGCCGCCGGCGCAGGGATGCACACCACCTTCTTCGCCTGGCTCTTCCTGCACACCCATCCATCGGGAAGAACAGAAGAAATTAGTAATTTGAGTATATATTATAGCTCGGTGACAATGAGCTGACGAAAGGATCGAGTTGCAAAAAAAATGAAGTAAGTGAGGGCAGATGGAGATGTCATGTTTTGCCATATATGGGCGTAGAGGAAATTGATGAGTTCGTATTGGGGGTGTACGTAGTTGAGAGGCAACTGTCAGTCAGGGTAGCTATTGGCAAAACGCTTCACGCCACCAAACACTACTTGCAATCACAACAGTGGTCGGCGATGGATGGATAGATAGACAGATTTCTTTTATCTTGGTCATCGTCGTCATCAGAATGGGTTGGTAGCTTTGTTTCCAGGTGGGTTAGGCAGGAAAAATGAAGGGAAAAAAAAAAAAAACAGAAAGAGAAAAAAGAGTTGGGATGATGAGATAACTGCATGAAAGCTAAGTCTGTGAATGCAAGCTAGCTAGTACTCCGCCACCACCACCACCACTGATGCATCCCTTTCCCTTTTTCCTTTATGAATTGCTGAAAGTAACCACCCATCTAACAGTTACCCGATTTTTCTCCTGAGATCAGTGACCGATCCATCCATCAATATACACTGTACAGATCATAGTCCATTTCCTCCTTCCCAATTTCCAAACCCTAGCTATAGCTATAAATAGAGGGCTATGTCCATGTATTGTATTGTATGTATAAAATTTCCTTCTCCATCAAGCTAGTTAATTACAACTACTAATCTATTCCTCCTCCTCCTCATCATCATCAATTCGTTAATAAATTGGTTGAAAGCTTCAATGAATTAAACCAAGTAATAAATCAACAAAGACGGTGCAGAGAATTTTAATTTCCGGATCAAACCCATCAAAATATAGGTTTTTATTTTATGGAAGTAAGTGAACTAACCAAACCATCCCCAGAAAAACATAAACAATCATAGATATAAACCCAAAGAATAATAGGCGGACAGAAGAAAAATAAAAAATAATAATAATGATAATGATAATATAGTTACCGTCGTTTGATACCCAGATTCCGCGGGGACGAGATCTGCAGCGGCGGGCCAGCAGAGGCGGTGGTTGTAGTTGCACTAGTATTTTGATTTTCAATCAAGCAACTTGCAGTCGCCGTGGTTGTAGCTGTAGTAGTAGCTTTGGAGGAGGAGATATTATTATTATTATTATTGTTACCGTTTTTATTACTATGCCCGTTGATCAAGTCGGTCGCCTTGTTGAAACCTATCCTGGGGGAAGCGACCCCCGCAAAACCCGGAGATGAATCGCATCCCGCCGCTGACTTGGGCGACGAGATCTGAATCCGTGAGAAGATGTTATTGCTATGGTGGTGCTGCTGCTGCAGAGTAGGAGTGCTTCCGTTGTTTGCACCGGTCAGCAAGCTGCTGTATCCCTGGTCGCCGCCGGCGTGTAGCAGATGAGCAGGGGAGAAGTAAGGCGGCGTAGGGGCGGGTGGAGGGGAGGCGGCCGGAACGACCTCGTGGAGGAGCGGATCTCGGAAGTTGAAAAAGGGGTCGCCGAAGCCGCCACCTCCGCCGCCGTCGTTGTCGTCGTCGTGGTCGAGTAGTAAGGCGGAGGAGAAAGTGGCGGTGGTGGTGGTGGTGGTGTGGAGTAGTGGATCGGGGGGAGGGAATTCCCAGTTGACGGAGACCAGACCTTCTGATAGGAGAGTTCCGACCGACGGCGACCCGGTTGTTGTTGTGGCGCCGGCGCCGGCGCGGATTATGTCGGTTAAATCACCTTGATAATTCTCCATTTCCGCAAAACATAAGGACTACTGAGTAAGCTGGGTTTTTGGAGGTAGAGAGAGAGAGAGAGAGAAAGGGTTTGGAGGTGTGGAGATGGGGCAAATGATGGACGGAGAAGAACAAAGGAACAGACAAAAAGGAAGGGACGAAGAAAAGAGAGAGAAGGGGACGCTGACTTTTCATATAGAGGAAAAAGGAATGGGAGAGAGCAGAAGAGGTTTTGAGTTTTAAGTTTAAATAAAATTGTTAATTACTTAATTTTTTGGTAATTAATTGCTTAATAATTTACTTTTCTTTCTCCGGCTACTACTAGTCTGCTGGTACTACTTCCTCATTACGCACGAAAGGTGAATTTTTTGACCAGCAGGGAGGGTGATGAGGTGGCCGGTGTAGATATATATCTTTCTTTTTTTGTTTATATAAAAGTGATGAATTAAACAACAAACCAACATGTTAAGCAAAGCGACAAATTGATTCACACAATTGCAAACTGAAAGAATGATCCCACAATTATATACAAAGTTTCTCCTTTTAACCGTACGTACTGGATTCTGGGGGAGAAGTGAAGAAAAATGACACATCTTTAATTTTTTAATCAAAACATAAAAAAAATTTAATGTGAGATTTAATGGAATTTATGTGAAAAAATAGATGATGTGGGTGAATCATACAAATGAGTTTTTTTTTTGTGTCGTATGGTAGGACGAAGAAATCTCACTTTAGACCTGTACCCTTGCTAGTGTTTGAGAAATGTACTTTTGTGAATAAGTTTTTTTTACGGGTAATTATTTCTTCCATTAAGCTCACTTGATCAACACGATCAAGTCGCACAAAAACTCAGATTTACATCTTATAGAGAAAAACTCTCAATATCAAAAGTGTAGATTTAATCTTCCTACCACTCTACTCTGCCTAACATATTCTTGAAATCTTAAATTTCATTTGGCTAATAACTAAACCTCCTCACACAATTGCAAGAAGACAACCTCCCATGCCTTGGGAATCTCTCCAAAAACACATCTACGTATCTCCATCCAAACCAAATTGCAAACCCAGCACCAAACAACACTCATCACAGAACCATATCTACCATTCTTAGCCACTGAACACAACTCTTGTAGCATCTGCTCCCAATCAGAATCCCAGCTTCGCAGCAGACTTCCAAATACCACAGCAAACAAGTGCCCAGTATACTCACAACTACAGAACAAATGTGAGCTGCTTTCTTCCTCTAAATCACAAAGTACACACACTGCGTCATTGATCTTACCCCACATCTTGAGCTTGTCATGAGTCACTATTCGATTTAAAATGACAAGTCATACAATAACTCTGTTTTTGGGGCGAGTGTACTTACCCCAAATCACCTGCCACCAGGGAGCCAGAGGTCTATGCACCCGAATGGACTCCCAGACTTGCTGCACTGAAAACCTTTGCATAAGTTTGCCCTCCCAGAAGACCTGATTTTGAGCATTTGCAATCATTCTGTATTGATACCACGCATGAAGCTTAAGTAGTTGTCTCCATAGCTAGGATCCAGCCATGGCAGGATTCAGCTCCCAAATAGATCGAGCTCCCAGCCTATAACGCCTCACCCACGCCACCCAAAAGCTCCCCCTGCAGAAACAACAATCATAAGAGACGAGCTAAACATGCAACATTCCAAGTTCGGAGGTCACGCAATCCCATACCTCCCTCTTTCTTTGGTATAGCCAATAAGTCTCACGCAACATTTGCTTTCCTTATGCCATTCCCATGCCACAAAAAAGAACAGAAGAAATCAGTTGGAGGCGGTCTGCATAGGATAGCTTACTAGCCCTCCATGAAAATTGTCATCCAATATTGACATAGGTAATAAAGAATAGAAGAAATTAGTTGGAGGCGGTCTGCATAGGATAGCTTACTAGCCCTCCATGCCTTAATCCGACTTGTCAATTTATCCACCAGTATATCACATTCTCTACTAGTAAATTTGCTAGAGATCAAAGGTACACCAAGATAACGTATAGGCAAGTGACCCTCTTGAAACCTTGTCAGAAGAAGTGCATTCGACTTGTAGTGAATTGTCTGACCACCAATGAAAACTTCACACTTCTGTGGGTTACACTTCAGCCAGGACATCCAATAAAACTCATCAAGCAGGCTCTTTACTCTAGCTAAAGCTTGCGCCGATCCCTCATTGAAAATGAGCAGATCATCCGGGAAACAGAGGTGCGTCAAATGCAACTCTTTACACTAAGGGTGGTAAGGTAGATTGGAGTCCGATGCTGCTGCTTTTAATAAACCTGTTAATGCGTCAAATGCAACTCTTTGGCCTATTTTACGCAAGGTTGTGTTCCTTTGTCACATTTCAGGTCCTAGCACATAAAGTGAAGCATAGGCGCAAGTTTCAAGTCAATCAGAGATCAATTGACGATTCGGGAGAAGAAACTCGGGTATGACCTGAAGAAGAATGGATTTCTACCTCAGTTTATGGATAAATAATCATGCAAGCTTGTCATGAAAAGAAAGAGGACGAGACTACGAGCGTCTGGGATCAAACGGCGACTGATTCGGAGTCCGGACGAGGGAGAAACGAAGCATTAAACAGAGGCTGAGCAAGCCACACGGGCACAACCCACACGGCCGTGTGACCTGGCCATGTGGCCGTGTGAAAATCACCGAGCCTTCACACGGGAAGCTGGGAAAGCCACACGGCCGTGTGGCCTGGCCGTGTGAGTTGGGAATTGCTGTTTAAAACCCGATTTTCAGCAAAAGGAAAGGGGCAGAGCTGGGTTTTGGATCCAAACACCCAAGGGACGAACCCTAGAGAGAGAGAGCGACTTGGGAACATTCTTGGAGCTATTTTGGAGGATTTCTTCGCCATTGGAGCTCGGGAATCAAGCTTGGAGATGGAGATTGAAGATCTAGATCAGATTTCTGCAGTCTCTCTCTTCTCTATGGAGTAACTTCCCTTCACTTAGGTTTTGAGGAACCTTAGTTCCATGAGTTAGGATCTTTCTTGTATGAAGTTTTGGATGCTATATTGTTTGATTATAATCGAATGATGCATGTTTATTGAGTCAATTGAAGTCTGATCAACTTTTCCTGATTCCTGCTGCAATCTGAGATAGATAGAATCTGATTAGGTTGCTAGAGTCTCATCATTGGGTAGTAGGAGATTGGCTATACGAGAGTTAGCTAGTTTACTGCTTTGTACTGGAATCCAATTCCAGTAGTGGAGTTCTGTGCTTATTGCTTCAGCTTTTTATCCCGGTGAAGACTAGTCGTCTACCGGATAGTTAGACTGAGAGGGTTTGGTCAGCTTAAGAGATTCCAAACTACTGTCGGATCTTTCGCAGTTTAATCAACAGTAAATCAACCAAAAGGAATTACAACTTGGACCTAATTGAGGAGCTAGGGGGAATCATACCTAAGTGAGTTCCCAAACTGTAATTAGTAGTTTTACTTAGTTAGTTAGTAGAGTAGTTTAGTTAATCAATCCTTAATCTAGTTTGCTAGATAATGAACTGAAGCTGAGTAATAGTAACTCTAGAGACCCGTGGATTCGATATTTATTACTTGTGCCACTATACTGCAGTCCCTTTCATTGGTTACACTTGGCCATTGTTAGGTGTTGTGTTTTAGAGCATCAAGTAGACAAGAGAGCTCACAACCTTACCAGAATTTTACCACACCACAAAACTTATAAAGCAGATAATTGACCTTAAGTATCATGAAAAATATTAGAAAACTCAAACCATACTAGAAACACAACAAAACACACCATAAAACTCATAAAGTAGAGGAGAGAATGTAAAAAGCACACCGCAAATGGTACAATATTATAGGATTGGGAAACGGTGCGGTCTGGTCCAGACCAGACTATACAGTCTAGACCAGACCACGGTCTAGACCAGACCACGGTCTGATTCAGATAGACCACACTCAACGAAAAATGAACAATTTGTTTGGTCAAACACAGGAAAAATTGAACTAATAACCAAGAAAAAATTATTATTTTGCCTTAAAATATAAATTCTAACATGCATGAATAATTTTTACACCCTAAATCTCAGTATGTAACAAAGACACAAAGTCAAAGCATCCCAACTTGCGCCATAATGTCATATGAAGACACAATTGTCTCTACTCTTTTGAGAAGACTCTCAAAATTAAGATTGAGCCTTGATTCTCATTGTGGGAGTTGGGAGAGTGATTGAGTGTACGTGTTGCTAACACATATTGACAAGTCAGCTGAATGCACGGTTTGGTCCGGTAAATTGCTGTCTAGATCAGGCCAGACCAATAAATCAAAACATCATATAATATAGACCATGGACCAAACCAAATCATACTTAACGATCAATGGTCCAAACCAAACTGTGTTGTCCGGTTTGGAACACAATTTTTCCAGCGGTCTGATCTATTTTCCCAACCTTGCAAAATTCACACCACAAAAGCTTTTTTAACCTAAAAATAGATAAACAAAAGCACAATGTCGCTTTCCAAAAAAATTATATACATGTGTCACTTTCAAAAGCGATATAAATATGTCGCCAGTCTGAAAGCGACGTACCCTATATCGCCTTTTCAGATGACGACATTTGTCTTTCCCTGCCAGTTCAACAAAAAAACTCTAATATATTGAAAATAGTTGTGAAATACTGCTATTTTTAGGGATGACAAAAACATATGTAACCATGGATAGCCGCCCGCATCCGACCTAATCGGGTAGGGTAAAACTTGAATCCGAATTTGTGGGTAATGGGTGGACATGATTTTCTCACTATTCGATCCGAACCCGCCCGATTATACACATACATACGTATTTTTCCTAGAAATCATCATTATTTTTCTCTAACATATTTTATATTTAGCATAAAATATAATATTTTTCATGAAATTGTGTGGCTTTAATTTATTTTCTTCATCTAGTGATTTATTTTCAAACATTTCATCTTTTGTAATGTGAGTATACATGTGAAGGTTAACATGTGAGTTGAAGTTGTAAAGAGAAATTATTACC